TATATAGTGATAATGGAAAAGAAAACGCAAACTACATTATATTACATTCTAGTATAATAAGTGCGGCCTTGGCCTCATTCTGCCAAACTTAGCTTGCACATGCTTGCGCGTATTCTCGTTGCTGTTAGGGAACTGAAATAAAGTTGCCATAATGGATATATTATGGGTATATAGGGTTTAGGGGTTTAGGGTTGAAATTGACAGATAATTTGGAAATATATAGTACTTAACATGGTTTCCCAATATAGGTTCATAATACAGTTCCTTGACAGCAACCCAGTGTATGCTTGCGCACGTGTTGCTTGTGCAACGGCCTGTTTCCAGGCACTTGGAGTCAAGATGCGTCTGAGACTGGGCCGCACTTGTGCTTGACCTTGTTGGGTTGAAGGTTCTGTACTGGCCAATCACAGGCGTTGGCCGCAAAGTTTCCAGATTCAGTTTTCCACAAGTCACTGAAGCTGCTCAATCAAGGCGTGGTGTAACACACTTCTGCCACTTGTATCCTGTACATATGACATGGAACGCAACAGCAGTCCTCATTCCATGGGGTACGTGCCGGTCTAGGGTGTAAACAGGAAAGCTATCGAAATGGGCCTCACGCTGAGCGAGTATGGGCTGGAGAACCGTCGAACTGGCGAGAAGGTCGCCTGTTCGCTGACAACGGTGTTAATCGTAAGCCTTCGCAATTGGCACGGTTCCGTAGATGCCGTTGAGGTCGCTGCCAACTCAGAGAAGGACATCTTCCGAACTTTGGCCTGAACTAAACTGCTCCAGCACCCCTCGCTCTTCAATGGCGGATGTAGGTGCTTTGGACATGCGCTACCTGGAGCCAACTGAGCGTTGAGGCAAACGCTTCCTTCTTCAGGATGGAAAAAAACACGGCACCCCTGCTTGCACCCGACAACCTGGCCGATTTGAGAGGATTGTTTGATTTGCGCTGAGGCCGTTGTGACCTTGCATCGGTGTGTGAAGCCGCAGGTCTCAGATTCCGCAGGATTTTGCATCAAGACTTCGCAGGGACCGTAGGCAAATTTGTCTGCCACAATGGTGAGCCCGGCAATGCTGAAAGGGATGAACACAGAGGCAACGAGGGCGGATTGAGCGTGATGTAGGAGATTGCCTTGGCCACTGTCATGTGCAAAAGTGACTCGCAGGTGTATGGCGAAGGACATCCCTTCGGTGACCCGTCGTGGTACCAGGCATACAATACGCCCTACTACAACGATTCGCACAAGCAATTTCGTAAGCTTATGAGAGAGTATGTCGACGAGCATATCATGGGCAACGTGCATGATTGGGAGACTTGGCTGAGTTCCTTCTTCAGCTTCATTCAGGTCAGGCCTCAACTCCGATCAGTTGTTGGAAACATTTTAAGTGACCGGACTCGATCTGCCCAGGATGAGAAGGGCGTGATCCCCAAGGAGATGTGCCCAGACGTGATTTCGTGTGAAATTGAAGTGCTTTGCCTAGCACATGAGTGTAAGGTACCTGGAAGCTGGCAAGCAGGGCACCTTGGCTCTATGCATTGGAAGGCCTTGGCCTGAGAAGTACTATGGTAAGCCCCCTTGGGGCTTTGAGCCCGACTACTTCCATGAGTTGATCATGTATGACGAGATGAGCAGAACCGCATCCGTCGGCTTTCAGTGGGGCATCGCTGGTGGCACCACTATCGGATTGCCGCCGGTGTGCCACCACGGCAGCGAGGAACTGAAGCAGCGGGTGATGCCTGCCTGCGTGAAAGGCGAGAAGGTCTGCTGCCTCGCAATCACCGAGCCCACAGCTGGCAGCGATGTGGCCAACTTGAAGTGCACGGCCAAGCTCGAAGGTGACCATTACATTCTGAACGGAGAGAAGAGTCTAGGTGTCAAAATACGTCAAAACTGAGCCTTTACCACCTTTCCCTCACTTGCCCAGGCCTGGACATCTTTGTTTTGTGTAGCGAGCTCCCGGCGCCGAGGAAATGGATCACGAACGGCATCTTCGCGGATTTCTTCACCGTGGCCTGCCGTACAGGAAAGCCTGGTGTGGGTGGCATCAGCTTGCTTTTGGTGGAGAAGGACATGCCTGGCGTGGAGACTCGCAAGATGAAGTGCTCAGGCGCCTGGTCATCCGGCACCACCTACATCACCTTCGATGATGTCAAAGTGCCCAAGGGCAACCTGCTTGGAAAGGAGGGCAAGGGTTTCCAGTACATGATGCAGCCCCTTGTCCGCGCACTTATGTCCGCTGTAGTCTACTTGTAGATAACGCTTTATTCCCGCTCCGCTTCTCAAGGGCGCTAGGTAGCCAGGCTGTGGCTTAGTTGTGAAAGTAACCGTCCTGCGTTGCCATGTTGAACTTTTGATTGTTGCTTAAGCGTTGGCTGAGGTGGGAGGGTGGGCACTCCTTAGCTTTTGGCTTGCTTGGCTGTTGAAATATAGCCAGCTTGCTGCACTTTGCTTGTTCTTGTCTGTGTGCTGCTATGGAACTGCCAACGCCTGTGAACATGGCCGTGGTGAAAAGCTTTGCTTCCCAAATGGAGGTGGAGGTGCCCAGGCACTTTTGGGAACAAGGGTTCCTGGGGACAGTGCTGGGCCAAGTATCCATCGAGGAGTTGCTGACACCAGGACTAGGGCGCCGCGGGCTGAAGCGTCCTGCTCCTCCTTTGGGCGTGTGCTTGTGTGAGGTCGATGTGACTGGCAAAGTGTGTGGCCTTGATGGTTCGCGTCAGCGGCAGCGGACCAAAATCTATGCTGTGGTAATGACGGACCGCTCCCCTGTTGACGTGCAAAGTCGACGTGCCGCCCTCACTTAAGAGTGGGCAACTTTATTATGCCTGGACCTGGAAGCATGGCAGCTCGGCCGCGTGGTGCTGATGGAGAACCGTGTCATTGGTCGCGCGGATGTCGTGGTGGCGCTGGAGGATGCGCTAGCAAGAAAGGCTACTTCTACCATTGCGAAGCGGCTGGGGGCTTTGTCGCGTTTTGCTTCTTGGTGTGCGAGTGAGGATTTTGCCCCCTTTCCTTTGCTAGAAAAGATTGCCTACTGCTACATCAAGCATCTGCAGACCTCGGGGTGCGCGCCTACAGCCGGCAAGTCCTTTGTTGAGGCTGTCCACTTCTCCGTGGGCATGCTCGGCCTACAGGTTGACGAAGTCTTTACGGGCTCACAGCGCATCAGGGGAGTTGCTGATTCAATGGCTGCGAGTGCGCCTGTGGTGGTGCAGGCACAGGCTTTGACTGTTGCGCAAGTAATGAGAATGGAGCAGTTTTGTTGTGGCGACGCATGCCTACAGGACGTCTGCACCGTGGGGGGCATGCTCGTGCTTTTGTATGGTTGCGCCGGCGTGTCGGACGGTCAAAGAGCAACAGCTGGCATTCTTGACTTGCCTGATCAGAATGCGGTCAGTGGTGCCATTGGCTTCTTCGAGCTTGAGGTGATTGGCAGCAAGACTGCTTACACATTGGACAAGAAGCGGCGTGTGCTACCGGTCGTCGCGCCGTTGTTCAGCTTGTCGGATTCCAATTGGGTTGAGGCGTGGTTGTCTGCGCGTGATCGCCTTGGCTTACAGACACATGGGCGTCTGGATCGCCCACTTATCTGCAAGTTCACTTCGAGTGGAGAGCCGTCTACTGTCCAGGCAAGCTCCTCTGACTCTGACATTGGACGCATGCTTCGACACGTGATCAGTGCTACGGAGGAGAAGCCCAACCAGGTGCGATCGCACTCTTTGAAGGTCACACCGCTGTCGTGGGTTGGGAAGTTCGGCATTCTGCTGGCTGAGCGCCGTGCCTTGGGTCATCATCTTGACCCCAATGCAGTTTCGGCAGAGACTTACACTCGGGATTCAATGGCTGCGCCGGTGCGTAGCTTGATCTCAGTGCTGCAGGCCATCACAAGTCCAAGCGCTTCTTGCCTGATCAGACACGCTCTGGACAGTTCGTGGGAGCGCGTGGTCGAGCGGGTGAGTCCAGCAGTTCTGACGCTGAATCTTCCGTGCGGCCAACGCCTGGAGATGTTGAGGCAGGCGAGGAGGGCGAGGTCAGCAGCTCTGAAGCAGAAGCTTCAAGCAGTGAAGAGCCATCATCTTCAGACAGCTCAGAGTCAGACGCATCCGCTGGAAGTGAGCTCTCTGAAGATCTGCCTGACCAGTCGGTTCTGTTGGAGCGGATTGATCCGGTTCTGCGTCCACCTCCTGCCCCAGTACCTGAAGATTGCGTGGTATTCCGGCACAAACTATCTGGGTTCCAGCACTTGCGCAAGCTTCGAAGTGACAAGCTGCTGTGTGGGCGGTTTATCACGGAGCGTTACCAGCAGATGCAGACGGCGTCTGAGACGTTTTTTCAGTGCTTAATATGTTTCAGGCAATGATGCCTCGGATAGTTTGCAGAGCGCAGTGTGTGTGTGTGTGCTTGGGCATTCTGTAGTTGGGCTGCGCGGGTGAGCGTGTTGCAAGCCTGCGATGTCATTGCCCCTGCATAGTTTGAGGCATTGTTCCGGTGCGGTGCGCAGTGGCGTGCCTGTTTGTCTGTGCAGCGATACGCCGTGAGCAGGCACTGGCTTGTAGTAGCATCTGTGTGCTACTGGCGTGAGGGGTTGTCCCATGCCGCTGCATTATGTGGCATTAGCTGGATGTGGGTGCGTGCAAGAAAAAGATCGCATTGCGTTCAGCTTGCGCCAGCCACCATGTCATGAGTGACTGCCACTTGTGTGTGCATCAGCAGCGTGGAACTTTTCAGCATCCTTGTTTCTTTTGTTTATTTCCTATTCGCAGTGTTGATTGCCACTTGTGTGTGTGTGTGTGATCGAGTGTCTCTAACTCTTGATTCTTGCTGCGAGCCGTGCAAGGTCAAGGTCAGTGCTGCGCATTAGGCGTAGGGTCTTTAGAGCGCCCAAGGTGCGCTGTCATGGCTACGTTGGCAGAATCTGAAGCCTCTTTTAAGCATCGCGCTTCCGAGGTTCGGCTGTCCACACAGCACATTGAAGCTCTCTTTGCCAAAGATGTCAAGACTTTCAACACATTTGCTTTTGCGGTGTGCGGTCAGCCTGGGCAACTCAACGAGAAATTCCAAGAGCTGTGTGACTCCTGCTTCTCCGCTGGGCTGTCCATAGGGGCTGCGGCTTCTTTGCGGCAACTTGCCTATGAAGCCATCACTCTCAGCATTGCAGCCATTAAGCAGCGTGTAGAGGTTGCAGATGACACAGCACCGCGAAAGCTTCCTCCCCAGGAGCGGGAGGAACGACAGAGGCAGCAGCTTGTGCGTTTGCCTGGTCTTCACATTCATGGTGAGACAGAACCAGCGAACTCCTTGGTGGACATGTTTTGCCAGATGATTGAACAGTCTTGTCTCCGCTATGTGGGTTTGTCGCATTGTGTGAGCAGGGAGCATGAATTGTCCGCGCAGCGGACAGAGAAGCAAGTTCTTGTGCTGGAGAAGAAGGAGATCCATGCGCGACCAAAGCACTTGGAGCTTGCCGCAGACACTAGCTCCGAGCTGCGGGTGCACAATGCTCTGGTGCGCCGCGGCCTGGCGCTTGACCAGGCTGGTCTCATGTCGTTTGAGACACATGATCGCATTGCCAAGGAAATGTTTGCCCATTTGACCAAGCCTGCGCCTCATGGATGCCAAGGCCCAAACATCGAGTCCGTTATGCGTGCTGACTATGAGCTCTGGATGCGCGTAGCTGATATGCGCCGCGGATCCTTGCGTCGGGCTGCAGATGGCAAGCTTCCCGTTGATGAGGCTATGAAGTCGGAGTGTCGCAGTGCGACGGTGCTATTCCACCTGCTGCCGATGCCTGTGCCTGCAGGCGGCAAGGGGCGAGGCCGCAAGCGGAAGCAGGATGATAGCAGCAGCGATGGCTCTGATGGGCCAGCGCCTGGCAAGAAGAACAAGGACAAGAAGAAGAAGAAGAAAGGCAAGGAGGACAAAAAGGGCCCGGTGCCAAGTGCGTTGAAGGGATGCTCGGGCAAAACTGCCAAAGGTGAGAAGGCCTGCTGTAACTTCAACCTTCAGCATGGCTGCAAGCTGAAGACCTCGGGCACTCCTTGCAAATGCTCCCGCGGCCTCCATGTGTGCATCAAATGCGGCAAAGCGCACCCACTAATGGAGTGCGACAGCGATTGACTAGGCCAAGCGCCGCCAGCTCTGGATTTCAATGGCATGGTTGGCGACTACTTCTGTTTGCAGCTTTTCAGCCGACGTGCGTCTCTTCCTGGGGCGCTGCGGCAGCATGGGTTGCAAGTGTCTCTGTCCGCCAGGGCTGCCAAAGGGTCTGCGGGGCTGCAGTTGGATGTCGCTGTTGTGATTCCCAGAGGCGCGTTGCTGAGGATCTTCTACGTCACCCTTTGTTTATGCGCATTTCGTGTTACCTTGCCGACCAGCTGAGGGGCAGCGGTCTTGTTCCGAGGAAATGGAATGCCAGTTCAACAGTTCCTTTTGCAACGACAATTGCTTTGGTCATGGAAGCGAGACGAACTTGATTCAGTGGATGGCTCTGCAGTGCATGGGGCTGCAAAAGCGGAGCGTTGGCTGGTCCAGTGTTGGACCTGCCTGTTCCTTGTCGTGATCAAGTGCCAAGTGGATAGCACTTTGCCGCTTGGATGGTTTTTCAGCCTTTTCTTTTCATTTTTGTATGTTTGGACACTTGCGTAAACTAGAGCGTACAATTTGGAGTAATCTTTCAGAGTTGCGGGCCTTAGAACGTCTGTGTGATGGACAGCACATTCACTTGGTGACCGCTGGATGCAGTAGAAGTGGTCGGTCCCGGGCTTTGTCTAGCGATAGCGTGGGCTACCGCAACTTGTCCAACGCGTGGGCGGAGTGTGTCCTTGCCTTTGCCAAACGTCGCGGTCTGCGTTCTGAGCCTGTGGTTTTTGAAGATGTTCTTCCTAGCCACAGCCGGCAGTGTGCTGTGGTGAACAAGGCCGTTTTGGGAAATCTGCCGCGAGGGAAGATCATCCCTCCTCTTATGACTGACTTCTTGATCTCGCAGGAGCACGTGATCCCACCAGACGTGTCGTTGCGCGAGATCGCTCTTGGAGGTCGGCTACCTGACAATAAGTTCTTCCTGCGGGTACGCGGTTGAACGGTTGCTGCGATGTGTCTCTAGTAATGGGGGTGATGAGGAGCGCAGCTGCAATCATAGTGGACAGTCATGGCTATCCTGGGCATTCCAAGGAACCCTTTAGACTTCTTGGCTGAAGCGTGTAAGCTTGTTCACCCTACCTTGCAAAAGATCCGGTTGTCGCCTATATGCTGGACTCGGCCATCAACCTGCAGTTGAAAGGAGGTGGCCATGCGGTCCGGCAGATGAGGGCGCGCAGTGCGCTGCGGCTGGTTCAGGAACTGGCCAGTAATGAGCAGGCGTTGCATGATGGAATGCCCCCTCACGTTCAGCGCATCATGTCTCGGAAAAGACTGTTGCTTCTACAAGCATTGTTGAGACGAAGCCAGTGTCCCGATAAGCAGATTGCGATGGACATGGCGTCTGGCTTCCCACTGTGTGGATGGATGGCTGCGTCTTCTGTTTTCCCGAAGAAAGTCCGCCCGCCCACTCTCCACGAGTCTGTCCTCACGGCAATGGGGCCATCCATCACTGCTCGTACTTTAGCCACTGTACGAGCCAGTGATAGCCCTGAGTTTGACGAGAAACTCTGGGATGCCACGTTTCAAGAAGTGACAGAAGGATTGTCGGTGTTGCCCAGAAGCAGAAACTGCGACCTATCAACAACCTTTCTGCGTCAATGGTGAACCGAGCAGTGGGCTTGCTTGAGAAACTGAAAGTTGAAGCAGTCGATGAGGCTGCCGCTGTCATCAAGGAGTGGCTTCGCAGAGCTGGGCGCGGATGCAAGCTTGTGGGCAAGACGTACGACTTGCGCAAGGCCTATAGGCAGCTTCCAGTCAAGGAGGACGCGTTGCATGCTACGTGGATTGCGGTGTGGTCGCCCAAGGATGCTCAGCCGTGTGTTCAGGATGGAATCGCTTCCTTTCGGAGCAACTGCTTCAGTAGCGTCCTTCCTGCGTGCAGCAGAAGCAATCAAGTACATCGGTGCCAAGGAGTTGGCTTTCGTGTGGACTAGCTTCTTTGATGACTTCATTGTTGTGTGCAATGAAGAAGATGCGGATGACACGCATCGCGCTGTGCAGTTGTTGTTTCGGATTTTGGGCTGGGATCTCTCAGCTGACCCCGAGAAAAATGTGGCCTTTGCAACTTGCTTCAACGTACTGGGAGTAGTGTTCGACCTTAGCGGGTCGGTTGATGGCTTCTTCACCGTCAGCAACACAGAGCGCAGAAAACGCGAGTTGGCTGAGCGCATCGATGCTGTGTTGGCGGCCCAGAGCTTGCGACCGCGGGAGGCCAAGAGCCTGCGGTCTCGGCTGCTTTTCGCAGTGGCTCAAATTTTTGGCAGAACAGCAAAACTGGCTTTGTCCGAACTTGGCAAAATAAAGGAGTCCTTTTAATGGCAAGATGGGCTGAGCCCTTCACTGGAGCACAGCTTGAAATGGTTGAAAAAGCACGTCGCCGCGGCGCCTCCCAGGCGTGTTGAAGTCCGGGACAAGCAGACTTTCCTTCTCTTCCTTGACGGGGCTTGCGAAGGAGGCGATGGGCAGCAGGCTTCCATTGGTGGAGTGCTATGCGATCAGTTAGGTAGAGGCCTTGCTTGCTTCGGAGAGGATGTGCCGTCAGATGTCCTGGCTGCATGGAGACAACGTAACATCAAGCAGCTAATTTTCCAAGCTGAAACCTTGCCGTATCTTGTTTCATTGTTCTTGTGGCGCGAAGTGCTCAAGGACGCTTGTGCGCTTGTCTTTATAGACAACGAGGCTGCAAGGTTTTCGTGGATTTCTGGTGCTGCTCGTAATGAGGATGTGTCTAGAAAGTTGCGGCGTGGTGCCTTCAAGGAAGCAGCCATGAACACTGTGCCATACTTCTGTCGAGTGCCAACGCATTCCAACATCGCAGATCGGGAAGCTAAACAGCGCTCCACCTCGAGTGCCACTGAGGACGGCCAAGTCGGCAGCCCACGCCCCAGTGAACTACACACAATACGGGGACAGACCCAGGAGAGCGAGCGGGCTACGGCACTTGCCGGGACGGATCCCTCTTTCACACGAAGTATCCTGGGGATGGACACCAACAGGGTGCCACAGCAGAGTCCAGGGGAGGCCGACTCCGAGCAAGGCGGAAAAACGCTGTCCGAAGACGACCAGAGTACGATGGCAGAAAGACGGCAGGGCCAAGCCCCTATGCGATACCCACAAATGGTGCAGGTACTGCAGACGCGGCTGATGAACAGGCGCAATCAATGCTACCTCAACGCTTTAACCACGTGCTTGCATAGACTCAGCCTAGCAGCAAGGAGAAGCGTTGGCGCCTTAGCGGAGGTACATCCTGCAATCCGAACGGTGGGCGCCCTATCTGAGAGGGTGGCGAAGGCCGACCCAGCAACATGATGTCACTGAACTGCTGCACCATTTATCACCATGTCTCCAGGGTCCGGCGATGCAGGGTGAGTGGGCTGAACACAGACCCACCCCCGAACAGCCGCATAGGTTGGTTGATTGCTCTCCGACTCAGCCACACATTAGTTTGCATATGGGACGACACCGAGAGCTGCAAGGGATCATCAACTCATGGAGTGAGGACCATAGCTGCCTGCTCACAGTTGCGCCACAACTTCTGATTGTCTTCTTGGTCAGATTCGCATACTGCAATCAACATGCGCGCAAGCTCCGACATTCAATCCGGCTGAAAAAGACAATTAGACTTCTCACCGCTGGGGAAGCCGATCTTACGGCCCCGAGTGCAACTCAGCGTGCAAATCAGCCTGAGCTGGAAACCATCTTTCCATTCCCAATTCATGCGACTGCCTAGGAGCTCCTGGGAGGCATCCTTCATATAGGAGATCAAGCTCACACGGGGCACTACAGAGCCTGCACTGTCATCCCTGAACGCTGAACTGGCCCCGAGCTCTGTCAACACGAAATCATGATGCATGATGACAACGTTGCCCCCAGGCGAGCCAATAAGGCGAATCTTGCACAAATAGCTTCCAACGTGTATGTCCTTGCCTTTAGGCAAGGAAGCAGTAACTAGCCCGGGCTCTTCGGAGCGGCTAGTGCGCCTAGCATGCTTAGTGTCTAGGCACCATGCACCTGGCGCTGGGATCACAAGTATCCCGTCCAAACACTGGACCTGCGCCCGCCAGACTCGAGTCACGCGTGCGGCGTGTGAATGCAAAAAAAAAAGATGGGCCTTCTCGACTGCGTTTTGAACTGTGTGCTTTGATCGGGGCGCAGCGTGAAAGAGTGGATGCCGCCATGCTCTGTGACCTTGCACTCTGGGGCAAGTAATGACTAGTTGGGGAGGGCAATGGCCTGTCTATGCAAGGATCACCTGAGATGCTCCCCCGATTCAAAACGAAGGTTTGCAGTGCGTTGCATCAGTTCACATGTGCAGGTGAGAGCGTGAGTAAGAATAAACTGTAGTCCACTTGTAGATAACGCTTTATTCCCGCTCCGCTTCTCAAGGGCGCTAGGTAACCATGCTGTGGCTTAGTTGTGAAAGTAACCGTCCTGCGTTGCCATGTTGAACTTTTGATTGTTGCTTAAGCGTTGGCTGAGGTGGGAGGGTGGGCACTCTTTAGCTTTTGGCTTGCTTGGCTGTTGAAATATAGCCAGCTTGCTGCACTTTGCTTGTTCTTGCCCACCCTAACTTTATCCCGCCCTGAACAGTGCTCAGTTTGCAATTCGCCAAGTCGTGTAAGTCAACCGATCTTGCATGTGTTTTCGAAAGCCATACCCTAAGCCAGGGTAATGGCCTGTCTATGCAGGGATCACCTGAGATGCTCCCCCGATTCAAAACGAAGGTTTGCAGTACGTTGCATCAGTTCACATGTGCAGGTGAGAGCGTGAGTTTCAATAATGAGTAGTAACGGAAAGCGGAGCTCTAAGCCAGGGCGTACAGCGGATCCAAGGAACTTCAATCACGAGCGCTTCGCCTTCTGCGCGATGAGCACGCGCTTCGCGCGCGTTTGCCTCGAGGAGTCCCTGAAGTTTGCCGGCAAGCGCAAGACCTTTGGCAAGACGCTCATCCAGCACCCGGTGATTCGTTGGAAGGTCGCAGAAATGGCCCGCATGGTGGAGGCAACTCACAACTGGCTCGAATGGATCACTTTCCAGCTGAACACCATGCCCAAGCTCGAAGCTATGTTGAAGCTCGGTGGGCACACGGCTCTGTGCAAGGTTCAGTGCACCAAGGCCCCTGCCTCAGCGCCGAAGCTGTTTTTTGGCAGGCTTTGCCAAGAGCTAAGTGCTCCTGATGTCGAGGTCATGGAGTACTGCGCCCGCGAGGCCGCCCAGATCTTTGGAGGTTTGTCGTACTCACGCGGAGGTCAGGGTGAGAAGGTGGAACGACTGAACCGCGAAGTACGCGCCATGGCAATTCCAGGAGGTCGCTTGTCTTGTTCCGCCAGCCGACTGCCACTGTGGATTCAGTCACTGGATGTCGCTGGTATGTAATGGCCTTTGCAGCGTGCCAGGCTCAGAAGAGATCATGCTGGACTTGGGCGTGAAGCAGTCGACAAAGCTGGCTCAGATGGCCAAGATGTTTGCGGAGGCTGCACCTCAGCAGGCGGCAGCAAAGCTGTGAGGAGCAACAGGCTTTGTGGATTAATGCTTGTGGTGTCTCTCATAGCAAGTCGCAGTTTCTCACGCAACTTTCTGCGTGGTCGTTCCACTGATGCAAATGCGGGGCCGCGCAACAGCCAGCGGTTTGATGGTTTAGCTGTAGTCTATAGTTGAAGGCTTTGCTGTACAGACTAGGGAAGGAACCTCAGATGCAGGTCAAGTGGAAGCAGGCCAAGAGCCAACATTCCACCAGTCTGCTCGTAGGCGCTTCCTTCAAAGCAAAGCTGAGCCTTGCAGGCGCTAATCGTGTTGATGGAAAGCAGAGCTTTGTTTGGACAGTTTGTGCTTGGCTTGGGGTCGACAGTGGCAATAAGCAAGAGCGACAGCATTGGCGTGAAGATGTGCTCAATTGTCACCATGCAGCCCACGGAGTCTCGAAGAAACTAGGCTGCGGACCTGTTTCCAACACATGAAAGCGAAGCTAGCCTGCATGTTCTTGCACTATCCTGTCAATGTTTCGGTGTTGCTCATCATGAATGCATGGGACATCTCAGGTCAGACAGCGGGTACTGGACAGCTGAAGCATGGGATCCAGATAACCGCGTCTACGCAGGTGCCGAAATCTTCCACACACACCATTTTGCCGTCGAGCCGGATGAGCGGAAGCCAGTTCAAGCTGAACCTCAGCCATGCCTCAGGACCGGCTTGCTTGCACGGTGAGTTTCTGTTTGTAGCCTTGTTGGTTCGTGCTTCACGCTGTTTCCTTTCGACTGCCTCTGAAAGACAGTAAGATATGATTTGAAATTCGTCTAGGAATAGGTGTTGACGAACATGGGATGCCAGTGGGAGCTAAAACGAGCCCTTGTCGCCTCAGCGGCCTTCCATGCCGCTTTCGTTAATTCCTCCGTTTTTTCCCGTCAAAGTGAAAGCCGCCTCAAGCAGTGGTCACTGAGGGCGCGTCAAGATTCAGCTGGTTACTGGGGAGCGCTCGAGAGTGATGCGACCGTCGAGGTGGACATTGCCAGTTTGCGTCTCCGCGACGACGCAGGCCGCAGACCTGCCAGGGTCTCTTTTGACGAAGGTGCTGAAGTGAACGCTTCACCAGAATCGAGCAGCCAGCCGAACCTTGCAAGGAAGACAAGCGATTACTGGAATTCCGAAAACTGGGATACGGCCCACCACATTCAAGGGAACCCTCGAGAAAACTCGACCCCTACGACGGAAGCCTCGAGCAATCTATCCAGAAAGGGTAGCAATGCTTACTGGGATGCGGACCAGTGGGACCCTGATCAGCGGGTGTATGTGGGAGCAGAAGCAGGGCAGAAGACGCACCTCACAGCAGTCATCGATCAGGGTGAGGACAAGCTGCGCCGCGCTTGGGCTGGAGGCTTGACGTGCGCAGCGTACAGCAACCAAAGCATGGATGGCAACAGAAGTGCGACAACCCTTGACCTTGCCACAGCAGTAGGGCAAAAGGAGCTGCCTGCCTTGAAGGACTTGTACGATGTTGCTACAGATTCCGTTGGCTCCGGGAGTTTCGGCGTTGTTCGCCTGGCTCGCCACTACGAGTCAAACCAGCAGTGCGTAGTGAAGCTGGTGAAAAAGGCCCAGTGTGGCATGTACAAAGCGCAGGTGGAAGGTGGGCTCTACGAGTCACTTCTCAACATGTCCAGACACTTCTCGCACAAAAACATCGTGCAGTACCTCGATGCCTTGGAAAGCAACGACCACTACTATGTGATTATGGAAAACCTGAGTGGTCCAGAACTTCTGGAGAAGATGGAACGTGAGTTCCCAGTCACAGAGAGGCATTGTCAGGAAGTCATGCAGGAGGTTGTGTCGGCGCTGGCACACATCCACAATGTACCCAAAATTTGCCACCGAGACATCAAGCCCCCTGGCCATGTTGAGACTATGGAGAGCCGTTACGCCCTCATGCGTTGTGACTAGCAGCTTTACAGATGAAAAACCAAGGCTTGACAACTTCCGCTACCGGAGCCCCGAGCCGGGTGCACCCTTGGTATTGTTGGATTTTGGCTTTATGGCTCGTTTGGATCAGCCCTGGGATGGCAAGAAGTGCGGCACACGCACCCTGGATGCGCATGCTATAGCCTGTTCTCGCCTGTTCTGCTTGAGACAAGCAAGCCCAGCCATAATGCCCCGAGGCATGTTCATGGCTCCGGAGATACTCCAGGCCTCAGCCATCGGCCATGTTTGCCGTCTGTGCAAATCTCCTTAATCCAACGAGTTGCAGACGCGAACCCCCGCGTGCCAATCCACAAGCAAGTCAGCCTAGTGCAAGCATGAGCACAGTGAGGGCTGGCAGCATGAGATAGGCACCAAGGGGAGGGCAAGAAACAGTAGAACAAATGAAGAGGTCTCAGAAAGGTTTCTGGAAGCCGCACTTGCGCTGCAGTGTCATTCACTTGCTCTGATTCGTAACCTTGCCTCTTTTGTCCAGGAGACTGTGCAGCAGGAGGACATGCCAGCAATGGATATGTGGGCAGCAGGAGTTCTGCTGTGCTCTTGTCCAGAAGTTATGTTAGCTTTCGAAAGCAAGCGGCTTCCATGTGGGGAACCCCCATGTGGTTTTCTTGCATCTCTAGCCCCTTGCCGTTTACCATTCTACATGCTGCTGTTGGATCTGAGGTACCTCCTCTTCACAGGCGATTGCCCGATCCAGCAGGAAGACATGCAAAAGCTGGCCACGAAGGGACCTGCTGGCAAAGATTTGGTCCTCAAGGCTGCCTTCGTTGAAAGTGAGTTCTTCAAGTGCAAAACAAAACATTCTGCAAATAGGAGAGGTGTTCATGCTAGGCTTTGGAAGCCGACCTCTTGAAATCTGTCTCCAAGGAGGCCACCCATCTCATGAAGCCTTGCTGAAGATGGAAGGTGAAGGGAAGTTCCGTGTTTTAAGCCAGGCGACAGACTTGTTACAGAGACTTCTGGACTTGGAGGCCACCCTCTGAGTCTTTCTTCCATGTTGAGGGAGAAGCTGCCCATGCTATGCTTGCAGGCATCAAGTCGGCTTGTTGCAGCTGATGCGATGCGGCACCAATGGCTGCCTGGCTTGTTGGCCTTCAGGGCTAGGCTGTTGCATGGGGCCATCACTTGATGAGACGTGATGAGGCTGTCCATGGATTTGGATGGTGGAGCTCGAGCTGTGCCAGCCCGCAGAGAGTCTTACAGGCGCATGGCCAGCAAGAGCGCCAAAGAGGTGCGCTGCTAAACTCTGCACAGGCACCAGCCGTCACCAGCCGTTTGCTTTTGTGCTAGGCCCCATTAGAGGAACAGTGAGTCATGGAATGCAGGCTTGCCTGCACATTCCGAATGCCGTGGATTTTCCTGGAACAGTTCAGGAAGACTTGATCAGAGGCATGTGCAATCAATAGCATTTTGCCGATGAAGCAGCGCGTGTTGGGCTGCTCAATTCCTTAGATCGTACAGTTGTTGACAAGGCGGACTCAAAGAGTCACTTGCTCAAAAGCAGTTAGATAAGCGCTTGCGCCCTTTATCCCCGCTCAGTTGGTGAATGTCGTGAAAACACTTCTTGCCAAATCCTTCGAGCTTGTTTGTGTGTTCGCCAGCCGAGATTTTCAAGCTTTTAATTGTACAGCCTTCGGTGGCAGCAGCAGCAGTGGACCCGGGAAGAGTGCCTGTGGCCTGCTTGCTTTCCTGTCTCTGTTGCTGCTTTCCGCGGTGCTGCCCTGTAGATAGAGAAAGGCCTAGGGATGAAGAGCAGGCGATCTGTTACTTTGCCAGGGGGACGCCCCAGCACATTGCCAATCAGGTGGACGTTTTCATGGGGACGGCTGAATTTTGATTCTAAGCACCTGATTGTTTTTCGCTGCGTCGGACCCCGGGTTCATCTGAGATGGACTATACCACGTATGTGCAGAGGAAGGGTTTCAACAGAGCTTTCTCTGCTAGTCTTCTGCTTCTGTTCCTCTGCATTCGGAATTGTTTTGGAGAGGAAATTATGCGCGCCAGAGAAAAGAGGACATGCTTGGTTTGCATTGTGATATGCTGCGGGAATCTGCAGGACAACCTGCAACTGAACAGACGCTCCAACGAGGGAGAACGGAAGCACCAAGATGGCATCGGCCGGAGAAGGAACGAGCAAGCAACGAACGGGGCCTGCGGGAGCAGAGCAGGGGCTGATGATGATTGAGATTCGTATCGGTGAGCAAGATCTGTAGGTATCTGCAGGTATGACAGGGCGCGCAAGCGAATGCATATTCCATAATCAGACAACATGTTACGCTTTTGGGTCAAGCGGCCATCAAGAGCTGCGGAGGGCTGCTGGAGCCGCAGATCTCTGATGATTTAGCGCGCGGTGGCAGCGGACGCAGCGAGCGTTGCTGCCTCATCGCTGCCTCATCGCAGCTCCCACCAGATGCAGTTGTTCACTTACCGGTGCAGTTGAGGTAGAGGCCACCAAGAGCCATGGGCAGAAGAGGCCAGGGCACATTCCCCGCATCTTGGCTGGCATGCTGATTCTATGCCAGATGATGATGACGATGATGACGGAGGCAGGGTCGGACAGGTGTTCTACGTTGCATTTGACTGAAGAATGCTTTTAATGCCCCTGCCTGGCTTCATAGAACTAGTTGAAAAAACATGATACAACCAAGAGGCACTATGTCACTTCATGTCTCTTCCTTTCCAAGGAACCGAAGATTAGCACGTGTCAAGCGAAGGTGATACCGGCATGCCAAAGAGTGTTGGTGGAGCACTCACGAGTTCATGTGATGTGTACATATCTGAATCAGGAAAGCGCAGGAAACTTGCCGGCGGCTTCTCAGATAGTTGACAGCTCAGAGAACACTGAACATTTGAACGCGCTTTGCTGCTCCTGGTAGCAATTGTGCTTCAGGTGCTCCACCCGACGATGGCCAATCTGCTGAAATTCAGAACCGCTCCTCAGATTCCTATAAGCAGAGTATGCCTTCTACAGTCATATCGAGTGACAAGTGGCAGCAGGCAACATGCAAGATTGCTGCAAGATGAGCAGCGCTGCGGTACCATGCTGCACGAGGCTTGACCAGATGCTGGCTGGAGGGCTGACTGGCGGGTGGCAGCCTTAGCAACGTTTGTAGCTCAACGCGTCCTTGGCTTGGCCTATCAGGCTTGGGATGGGCGCTCCGATGGGCATGCCGATGTCAATGCCCACCATGCCCGCAATGTCTGTGCCAGGCCTTTCAGGGAGAGCTTCCTTCATATAGCAGATTTTTCTTGGTGATCAGGTGGCGGTGCGGCGCCGGACCGCTTGCCCAAGTCGCCTTCTCTCTCAGATGCTCATCTGCTGGCCGCTGGCAGGAACTGGATCCCTTGAAGCCAGCTACAACTCCGATGGACTTCTCCAAACTTGGCACAAATCTGCCCAGTGGAGAGCTCATAGTGCTTGTGGTATCCGAAGCCTGTCAGCACTTGCAGGTGTCATGTTCACCACAGCCCAAGGCCAGGACTTCCCCGTCCCCAGAGACATGGTGGCTACTGGTCCTGAAGGGCTTGAAGGGCTTATCCCAAGTTCTATGTGAGGTTAGGGTTTATTTCAGGCTTGGAGAGTGCACATAGCCGTATGGATGTGGGTGTAGTGTACAAATGGGATTGCAATTTGAGGTGAACTTGAATCTAAATCCTACATGTGCCTAATGCATGGGCCATCGTTTGCAGTGTTTGTGCAAGGAGTACCTCATGACTCCGGAGCACAGGCAAATTCTGCTTGAGGACTTTGGAAGGGACGGCTATGCCTGACTGTGAAAGTCCTGCTATGTTGATTTAGGGAGCGCTGAGCTGAATGACAGCCCAGGGCGGACAGCACGCACTTGAGGGCACATACAGCCTGCTGTCCATGTTGCACGTCGGTGCAGGAGACGGGCTGTGACGTGGACTGGGCGCCGGATGAGTCCAAGGCCAACGGCCAACATGTCTCTTTTGTGCATGGGTGATGTGTAGATATTAAGGCAGCAACTAGCCGCACTAGTCTTCTTCACGCGAGTTAGTTGGCAGCCTCATCTGCTTGAGCTGCTCAAAATGGAAGCATGCCCAAAACACAATAGCATGCGTAGCCAAACATCCACTGTGCTAGCGGCATAGGCCACACTCCCAATCCTTGCCTTGCCTTCGCCAGCCATCATGAGCCCATTCCGACATGGGCGCCTCTGGCCAGCGATGTGAGCCTACATGAGCCTACATGCTGGCCTGGGGACTGCGCCTGTGACTGTATTCAGAGTATGCATTCCAAAGCCTTCCTCCTCGCTCGAAGTCTGGTCTTCTTCTGCACTAGCAACGTTGTGGTTGCAAGGCTCTTGTTGCTGGCGTCCCCCCATGCAGAGCATCAGACCCCGGACGAGCTGACGCGGGAAGTAGAGCGTGCCAGAGACGAGGCTGAACGTTGGTCTGTCCACTCAAGGGGTCAGCGCGTTTGTTGAACAATCTCAGTCTCGTTTGCTGCGTCGCGTCAAACTTCACATTTGCAGTCTCACAGAGAAAGGTTTCTGGACAGATGTTTGCGTGCAAGTGAGAGGTTTGCGAGTGGTGGCAGAAGTACCAGCGACTCTTTCGGCATCATTGGCAAACAGCCAATCGGGCCGAAAGACGCGCGCATCTCTTCGAGACGGTGCCGCGGCTTCCGAAGGCTCGGAAGCAAGAAGTCATATGGCTGCTGCTCCTGTGAATCACATGCTAGGCGAGACAACATCCGCTGCACGGCGGCATCAAATACTCTGCATGCGTATTCGCTTGCTAGCTCCCAGCTTTCATCTCAGGCAAACCTTGACGGGCGAAGATGCAGAAGGATTCTCTGATCTTTGTCCTGAGCTGAACTTGGAGGACCTTTCTGCCGATTCTCAGGTGCCCCCTCTGAATGCCTGGTCCGTCTTCCGAGAAATTTCGTTCACCACTCACCACAAGTCACTTGCAGAGCCCAGTTCTGATCAAGGTGTTGATTGGCGAGCATTTGTGATTCAGCCCAGTCTAGAGCGTTTGCTACAGTACCCCTGCCAGCGACAGAGGTGCTCCTGGATGTCCTGGACATGCAGCCGGGCAGTGCAAGTATGAAGACAGTGGGAAGGGGAGGAGAATCGTATCAAAAGAGTACCAACAAAAAGGGACTTTCCAAATTGCATCTGTGCATAGTTTCGATTGGCCAGCTTGGTCGCTGACTCTTCAATGCAGCTCCTTTGTACAAGAATAAGTGGGATCTGTGGCTTCAAGCAAGGCAGGGGAGTGAAGTTTGTCGCCCAGAGTAAGGATCAGGAACACTGGAACACCTGTTGCAACCTGCCGAAGTCTTCAACCCAGCAGATAGCGCCGATAGCGGGGT